CCCACATTGAAATGATGGAGGGGCTAGTACAAACAATAAACATAGAAGAGCTCCCTTCAGAAAGTGCTCAAAATGAAAGCCCATGGAGTGCAACACCCAATGGAAGGGGGTCCATAGGGGCCCACCTGTGGGAGACTACATCTTATCTCAAACAGGGTATACTCTTTGCTCAGAAGAAAACAGAGGGAAAGGCAAAAGAATCTCAAGTGTTCCAGGGATGGGTAGAAATCTTGTATGACCAACCAAGCACCAGCACACAAGTGGTCAGCAAGCCAAGAAGTGTAGTGTGGTTAAAACACAATCAGACGAAACAATGTACGTCTGAACTCGATTCAACTGGACAGAGATGGGGATGACAAACCCCCTATGTTTCAGGAGGAGGGCACAATAGTTGTTTGAAGAGTGATCCGCACTACACAGAACAGTGCTACCACCACCCTACTTCCCATTGGATTGTGCTCTACACAATCAGTGAGGAACTTTTCAAGGTTCACCATTCCAGCAGCTAGGGAACTGTAAGTGGCAAGGGTCTCCTGTGAAGGAGAACTTATGTTGGAAAGTGCCTGGATCTCCATCAGATGACTGTTAGAAAGATATTTAACTGATACAGTGCAATGTGTGTCTGCAAAACTGTATATTTAAAAGCCAACAAGCATGAGCCAAAGATGTGGGCAGTCACTTCCTGGTTGCTGGCTTTTTCCATGATAGTGCATGTAAGGTATGGTCTGGATTGGGCAATTGAGTAACTTTAATATCATGAGGATATCTCTAGTGGTCTTGTGAAACATCCCATCTCAACAATGGGCACTGGCCCAATACATATTTTTGGAAATAAGCATACTCTGGGAAGAAACACCAACCACCTAGCATGATTGTATAAGATGGAAGGTAATGTAAAAGAAACTGTTCTTACCCTTCCCAAAGGCATTGTGTAGTTTTATTAAAGAACAGTGTCTGGAGGGAGTTGAAATCTTGCAGGACATGAAAAGTCCAAATCATAAAGATAATGGGAGATGAATGTGTGTAGGTTTGTGCACATTCCAGTCTGAAGAATGTTGTCCAAGGATCTGTGAAAATCAGATGCAAGAGTGAGACAGCTGATGAATCTGAAGCAAGGAATGTGAAAGAAGAATCACTAACAGGAGCAACCAAAATCTTTAGATGAAAGGCCCAGTCTGGGTAAAAGAAGAAGTGCAGTGCAGTGAAAGAGTGTTTGTGAAAAATTGATGGCATACACATCTGAATGACAGTGACCAAAGGGAAGAAGGAGAAGGAAATATGTCTTCAGAAAAAGATGGTATAATAAAGGTTAGAATGGAGAATGTGAAAGTGTGTGTAAAACCACACCAAGGTTCCAGTCAGGCGTGGGTATAAGATGAGGGGGGAAGGATGAAAAAGGAAGGATCAGAACAAAGTGGGGAGGACAGGGAAAGAACAAAAAAACCTAGCCAGGAATGGGAAAAATAAAGTGTAGTTGATAAAGCCATATGATAAACAACAATAGTGGAAACTGACCATCCATAGTCTAACAACCATATGAAAAAGGCTGAAAATTGGGCCACAATAGGATGAATGATAATAAAGAATAAATTGGCATGTCTAAATGAAAACTTTTTCTAGTTAATTTTCTGTTATGTATCAAGCAGAAGTTTCCAAAAGTGAAAGAACTTCTTGTGTAGGGTATAAAAGAGAAGTACAAGTTTTGGTGACAAAACATTCCACTACTCATAGGTGAAGGCTAAGCCTGATTGAGATGGGGGTTGAAGAACACACCTTAATGTGCTAAATAGAGAGTGGGCATGAGAAAGTACTTGAAAGGATAGACAAGCCAGCCAAATAAGTAGCTTCCCCCAGAAAAATGCAGGTGAGAGAGAAGGAATACTCCCAAGAAAGCGTAAGGAGAAACCAATCTTTTATGTAATAATGGAACCTCAGCCCAAAACGATGACCAAGGAAGGCAAATGCCCCTATCACTTGATTAAAGACATAAGGATCAGATGCAATAACAGAAGGAAGGGCATGGAACTGGAAGACCAAATCTTGATGGATGAAATGAAAAAATCTTTTGGAGGATGGAGTGAACAGAATGTGTAAAAAGATGTCTGAAATGTTGACCTTGGTAATCCAGTCTAGGTGAAAAGAACCACTAGAGAAAAAAGGAAATCATCCATATGGAACCGAGGGATGATAAGAAACTGGTTGAGAGATGACAGGTCAATAACCGGATGCCAGTCCCCAGTCTTTTTGGGAATCACAAAAAGACACGAGTAACAACCATGTGTAGGGGTAAGTACTCTCTTGATGTCATTCTTGGCCAAGAGATCAAAAACCACATCTTTGAGACACTGGAGTTAAAAGGAAACAGAGGGAAGAGGAATGGAAATTGAACAGATGAAAAGAGAGGAGGTGAAGGGAAGTGGAGAGATAGGCTGTGGATGAGAACCTGAAGAATTCATCTGTTGAATGAAAATGGAGATCAAAGGCTGGCAAAGAAAGATGGGTCCCCATAGGGCCAGACCTGATGAGATGAGTGATGACCCAACATTAAGAAAAGGGATGGTGGGGAATAGAAGCTGGAATGTGAATGAGAAATGAATTTAGCAGGCATACGAACAGGAACAGTATGGCAAGGTTGAGAAAGGCATGAAACCATAATAGACAATGGGGACTGATGCTGGGCTATCTCAGTCCAGGTACCCAGTGAATGAGGAACACTCCTGAAGACCTCTGGCAAAAAAATGAAGATCAACAAAGATCACAGAGATAGGTGTGAGGAAGGCATGCATTGGCTAGGAGAGCATCCTGTCCAAATTAGCCCTAACAGCAGAGAAACCAAGTAAGAGAGATAGAGTAGAAGTAGTAGTATGGGCCAAGATGATGAAAAGAAGAGAATGAACTTTTTCATAAAACCTCTAAAAAGAACGATGAATTGCCTCAGATATAAAGTGAAGTGATGAGAGGTAACACAAGAGGGTGGTAAGAAAGAGATGAAGATGTGAAAATTGGACACTGAAAAGGGAAATAGAAGGGGTCCATCTCCAAAATAAGGTAGAAGAGATTCCAATGCCTGGGAATTGGGGAGTGGAAATGAAGAATGCCTATATTCCAAGAAAGAAAGAAAAAAAAGGGTCAAATAGACAAGTAGAACAAGACAAGTAGGAGTGTGTAGTTGTTCAAGAAACAAGTCTGTATGAATCTGAATATCAGGTGGAGGGGGAAAGACAAAGTTCCTTTAAAGATAAAGCTGCACCTATAACAAACCCTGGTGAGAGAGAAATAGCCAGTCAAATCATCATCAACGTGGTCATTTTAAAACTGGGAAGAAGGAAAGTCAGCCAAATACACAGGAGTAGGAGGAGGCCCAGTGTGCATGAAGGAAGAAACCCAACAACACATTGAAAAAATGGTTCTCACATCCTCCACAGATAAGCCTTCAGTAGCCACAAACGACACAGGTCCAGTGTTAGAAACATCAACCCTATCATGGGTTGAAGTGGATTTTACCATCACTTGAGAATTTATAATGTTGGAAAATACCATTTCGAATGTTATTTTTTCTAATTAAAAGTAAAAAAAATAAAAGCTAGTCACATGAATCATAAACACTAAACCAAAGGGAAATGAAATTGAAATCATTAGAAAATCTCAAGTAATTGATTAACAATTTTGAAACATTTACATTCCAGGCAATGCTTAGGAAAAGAATGAAATTATTTCAAATGCAAGTGCTTAGGGGGAGCTACTAGCAAGGAGGTTGTGTCACCCTCCTATAGGTGGAGGGCTATCACTGCATGAAAACATCATCATACGCTAGCACAGTTCATGTTAAACATGTGATTTTTTAGGTAGGAGTTAGCTCAAGGCCAGTGGTATGCAAGTCATAGGCAGATGCACAAGGGACCAAACTTTTCCATGTTAGGATGTGAGGTAACTTCTTGAAAAAATCTGTTGGACCTGATGACACAACCAGAAAATGATTGTTGATCAATATTATTTAGCTTATGTGTTTCTGACCAACAATGCTGTTACAAAGGGTGTATATGATAAACAGACTGATAGCAAGGAATAATTAGTTATAAAGGTATAAGTTAAAAGTGCTAAACTTTCTGGCCATTATATTTTATCATAATATTTGAACCAAACTACCCAAAACAACTGGAATTCAAAGAGAAAAATAAAAGAATATGACAAATTTCAGAACATCTGTGAAATTCTTCTTCACAAGTTTTGTTTTCAAGCAAGTCTGTATCTTACCTATGACCTTATTCAAAAGCATTAGAAGGATCCACACAATTCAGCCCTCCCTCCCACTAGTGGCACAGTAGTAAGTCTTCAGATTTATAATGCTAGAAACTGAGTTTCAAAACCCATGGCATGCACAGCACATATAGCTTTGGGCTTAACTACAAACAAACACACCATTCAAACTTCAATACTGTGCAGTACTAAACATTTGGTTGTTTATTAATTTGGATCTTCATAACATCGTGATTAGAGTATCTATAAAGCAGGAGTAGTCTATTATTTTTGTCGTGGTCCAAAGAAATATTTTACACCTGACTATGCCTCACATAGACAGGTCTTTATACAAAAATATTAATAACTCTCAAAACTTGAACAATGTTGTAAAAAAAATGTTTTTGAAGATACTTGTTTGTTTACCAATAACACTTTTTAATTTGTTCAAGATACCTTACGCATGTAGTTTTGGTTTCAGTTTTTAACTTGGTGTAGTATAAGACGTACATAGATTAATCAATTTTAAGTACACAGTAATTTTCTTCATATGCTGTTCTAAAATTCCTGATATGAATTTGATTTATAAGAAAAAAAAATACAAAAATTACATGCAATTTGAAGATCCATTCAAAAATACCCTGTTAATCTATACTTGGACTGTGGCATACCTAGTGAATTCATCTGCTGTATTTCTCTGTAACACAAACTAATAATGTAAAAAGTATGCAACATGTTCTGCTTTTTAAATTACAGAAATTGAATGTTTTTACTCAAATTTAATTTAAACAATACATTTTTATAAATCAGTATCTAAAGCAACCTGATACACAACTTCGAAAAACTATCTTTCAACTTCAGTATATCATATTTTGTTTAAAAACATGGCAAATCATTTCTCTGGACTGGCTTGTCCCAGAATACTAGTATCCATATAGTTTACCCCTTCAATTCGAAGTTCAGGTAAAACATCTTCCAGTAACAGGCATACCAGCTCTAGGTTCTTTACTCCACTGACTCCTGTAAGGTTAAGTTTCTTCAAGTTCCTAATAAGAAGTTTCTGATCAGAAAAAGCACTT